AGGAGGTGGGCTAATGATTGCAAGCATTTAAAACCTGTTCCAAACATTGTAAGACCCTTAAAAATGAGCGAAAACGGAAGAGCTTCAAAAGCACTGAAGCCGGCTTCAGTGCTTTTGAAGTCTTTTCCGATGTCCCTTTTCGCTCCTTTTTAAGTGTCTTACAATGTTTGGAACAGGTTTTAAATGCTTGCATTCGTTAGCCCACCTCCTGAACCCTATGCAAACTTAATTTGGTGTTGTTCTGAGTCGTCCTTAATTTTTGGTGATTTTTTGTTTTCCCTATTTAAATGCATTGAACTGTCCATTCAATTGATTTAAATGGGGAAAATAAAAAAATCACCAAAAATTAATGAAGACTCAGAACAAAACCAAATTAGGTTTGCACATGTTTCACAAGGTGCACTATGGAATCCAAGCATTTAAAACAGGTTTCAAACATTTTAAGACACTTTTAAATGAGCAAAAAGGGACATCGTTAAGTGAAATTCCCCCATAGAGAACATCGTTAAACGATGGGGGAAATTCCTCAAAAAAACCCATCGCTGTGTGAATTCATCGTTGTATGAAGCAATCGTTGTGCGAGGCACCACTGTATAGTGAGGGGGAATACAATAGCGCCAGATAGTCTTGGTCTCCAGTGACATATTCTAACACTTGATTAGGTTTTCTAATTCCTTTATACTGTCCTTCTGAGTCCCAGTCTTTTTATGATTTCTTGGGTGCAATCTCCTTTTGGATTGATTATTGAACAAAGGTATACAAAACCTTTAAAAATTCAGTTTTCGATCACTCACTCTATAAATATTTGAATCCACATACAACTCCCTGGCTATAAGTTGATCTGCCATCTCAAGATAAACACTTTAAATCTTAACACATTTTCTTATAGACAAGCTTATTTTAAATGAATAATTAAATGGCAGTTGGGTGGTATAAAAATCAAATAAGAAAATGAAGCAATTCCTTGTTTTTCCTTTTACCACCACTAAGAGGAGCCAAATAGCAACAAATAAAAAAAAATTAAAGCCATTCTGTTTAAAAAAGACCAGAATTCCATGGACAAGGTTTTTTAGAAATTCACTTTAGAGTATTTGTACTATACAGTTATTTATGATCAGGTAGTATATTATGTATATTCTGCAGAGAGATAAGAATGTCACTGCCCTTATCTGGAATTCAGACAATTCTTGAGATGGTGTTCATATTTTATTATTTACCTTTTGTCCATATTGCTCACCTACAAATATGTAGAGATCAGTCCAAAAATCAAAAGTGAGGCAGTTTCTATGCTGAACTAGTGTCTGGACCTGATAATGGACTGGATGAGGGTTAATAAATTGAAACTCAATCCAGACAAGACGGAAGTGCTGTTAGTGGGTGCTTCACCGGACAGGCTGGAGGGCCATTTCCCTGCCCTGAATGGGTTACACTCCCCCTAAGGGACAGGGTCTGCAGCTTGGGGGTGCTCCTGGACTCCAGTCTAACCCTGGAAGCCCAGGTGGACTTGGTGGCCAGAGGCAACTTCCTTCAGCTGTGGAAATTATATGGCCCTACCTGCATGAGCAGAGTCTCATGACAGTTACACATGCACTGGTAACATCCCACATAGATTACTGCAATGTGCTCTACGTGGGGCTGCCTTTGAAGATGGCCTGGCGACTACAACTGGTTCAGAATCGAGCTGTGTGGCTGGCGAGTGGTGCAGTCACTAGGGAACATATCCAGCTGATTCTGTTTAAGCTACATTGGCTACCAGTTGCTGCCCGGGCCCAATTCAAAGTGATTGTTTTGACATATAAAGCCCTAAACGGCTTGGGCCCTTGATACCTGAAGGACTGCCTCCTTCTATATGAACCTACCCGGCAGTTAAGATCTAGTCAGGGGGCCCTTTTGAAAGAGCCGTCCCTTAAGGAGGTAAGAGGGACAGTAGACAAGTCTTCTGGACGGGTTGGAGCTTTTTGACATGGAAGTCGAGCTCAACTTCCATATGAGCCTACCCGGCAGTTAAGATCTAGCCAGGGGGCCCTTTTGAAAGAGCCATCCCTCAAGGAGGTAAGAGGGATGGCTTGTAGACAAAGGGCCTTTTCGGCAGCTGCCCCCAGACTATGGAATGCCCTCCCAACTGAGATTCGTCTGGTGCTGACACTGATGACATTTTGGCGCCAGGTCAAAACCTTCCTGTTCCAGAAGCCTTTTAATTGAAATAATATTAGCTGTGGGTCTCATGGTAATTTTTACAGTATATATTTTAATTCCATTTTAATTGTTCTGAATTTTTATTGTATTTTAAATGTTGTAAGCCGCCCAGAGACCTTTGGGTAGTGTGGGCGGCATATTAAATAAATAACTAAATAAATAACTAAATAACTAAATAAATACCATTACTCACCCACATTTCATGCTTATTCCACCACCAGTCCCTGTAACCCATCCCAAGTGATAAAATTGTCGGCAAAGTTCTGGGATCAGGTTTCTTGGATGCAAACTATCCTATAAGAGAAATAAAAAGTAATTGCACATTTATTTTTATTATTATTTTAAATGGCAATATTAACTAGAGTTGGCCTACTGAATAAATAGCTGAATGAGTCGATAGTTGTGTAAATTGCATTGACTTAATGGGTGTGTTCTAGCTGGGACTAACAACTGAATTCAAACCAGTTTACTTAGAAAAACCATAAACAGCTTGTTATACAGAATATCTCCCTAAACGCTAACGCTATATAAAACAAGCTCTGACAACCTGTAGGAAGTAAACGACGTGCACAAGACAGCTGTCATCGACATGGAACTGAATAGGCTGCAGATGGACAGTGTTGCCCTGCAAGAGGCGAGATTGCCAGACTTGGGATCTGTCAAAGAAAAAAAATTCTCATTCTTCTGGCAGGGAAAACCATTGAATGAGACCAGGGAATATGGTGTTGACTTTGCAGTTAGAAATATTCTGCTGAGATCCATTGTTCCACCTACTGTGGGGAGTGAAAGAATTCTGCCTGTGCAGCTCCACTCATCAGCAGTTCTGGTCACCCTCATTAATGCATATGCACCAACGCTGTCATCTACAGCAGAAGTCAAAGACAGATTCTATGATGATCTGGCAGCTACTATCAAGAAAATCCCAAAGAAAAAGCCGCTGGTCATTCTTGGAGATTTTAACGCTAGAGTCGGTGCTGATCACAATTCTTGGCCCACTTGTCTAGGCTGTTTTGGCATTGGGAAGATGAACGAAAATGGCCAACATTTGCTGGAGTTTTGCTGTTATTATGGTCTTTGTGTCAGCAACACATTCTTTAATATGAAGCTTCAACAGAGTCTCTTGGAGACATCCAAGATCAAAGCATTGGCATCAGCTCCGTTTGATCCTCACTAGACGCTCTAGCCTTCCTAGTACAGTGGTGTCTCGCTTAACAATTGCTTCGTATAACGAAAAATTCGCTTAACAATGGCTTTTCGGAGCGATCTTGCACTCTGTTTAACGATTTTCCCCATGGGCGATTTTTGCTTAACGATTTCGGGACCATGCTTCGCATAACGATTAGGTTTTTGGTCCCCTTGTTTCGCTTAACAATTTTTTTTGACAGCCCCGTCTTCACTATTTTTAAAATATTCTAAAATGTTTAAAAATGTTTAAAATGCTTGGAATCGTTAGTGCACCTAATAAAACCTTCATTAAATTAATTTGGCTTTGTTCTGAGTCTTTTTGAATTTTTGTGAATTTTTTTCTTCCCCATTGAAATGCATTGAAAAGGCTTCAATGCATTTCAATTGGGGAACCGCGTTTCGCTTAACATTTTTTCCTATGGCGATTTTCGCTTAAGGACGGCAATCCGTTCCCATTGGAAAACGTGTTTCGCTTAGCAATGTTTTCCCATTACAGTGGTGCCTCGCTTAGCGATCGCTCCGTTGAGCGATGAATTCGCATAGCGAGGGGGTCCGGGCCATCGCTGGAGCGTTCGCTCAGCGATGGCCCCTATGGCGTTTTTTCGCTGTGCGACGATTGCTAAGCGATTCGCTTAGCGATTTTCGCACAACGAAGTGGGGGAGAACAGCTGATCGACGGTTCCACAATGGCCGCCGCAACTTTTCCCGCGAAAATGGCCGCCCCTATGGAGAAGCTTCGCTCAACGGTAAGTTTAGGGCCCATTGGAACGCATTAAACCAAGTTTAATGCGTTTTAATGGGGTTTTTTGTTCCGTTGAGCGATGTTTCTCTTAGCGATGGTTAATCCGGAACGGATTAACTTCGCTATGCGAGGCACCACTGTATTAGGATCACACACAGTGATCAGGGTGCTGATTGCGATATTGATTACTCCCTGGTGTGTAGCAGAGTATAACTGTAAATAAAGAGATTGTATCATACGAAAAAGGAAGAAAGACCACATATTGACATCAGCAAAATTCTCAATCAGAGAAAAGTGGAGGAATTTGCTCAAGCGCTTGAGGAAACTCTTCCAGGCCCGGCTGATACAAATGCACCTGAACGATGGGAACATTTCAAGAATGCTGTTTATAACACCGCTTTGTCTACGTTTGGCAAGAAGACCAAAGAGACGGCAGACTGGTTTGAAGCCCATTCAGAGGAGTTGATGCCAGCCATTGAGGAAAAGAGGAGAGCTCTAGCAGCATTCAAAGTCTGTCTTAGTGAGTACAACTTGAAGTTGCTTCGAGTTGCTCATAGTAAAGTTCAACAGACTGCTAGGAGATGTTCTAAAAATTATTGGCTTCAGCTTTGCTCTCAGATACAGACAGCAGCGGACACAGGTAACCTCAAGGGAATGTATGACGGTATCAAGCAGGCTTTAGGTCCAGTACAGAAGAAATCTGCTCCTTTGAAGTCTGCTACAGGCGTGATCATCCAGGACCAAGTAAGGCAGATGGAACACAGGGTCCAGCACTACTCTGAGCTATAATCTAGAGGGAACGTAGAAACTGAAGAGGCATTCAATAATATTGAGGGCCTGCCTATCTTGGAAGAGTTGGACAGCAAACCAACTTTAGCAGAAATAGAAGCAGCCTTGGTTTCCCTCGCCTCCGGCAAGGAACCTAGGGAGGATAACATCCCTATTGAAGTGCTAAAGTGCTATGAAGAGATGATCATCACTGAGCTGTATGAAATCTTTTGTCTTTGCTGGAGAGAAGGTGGAGTACCACAGGACATGGATGCAAACATCATCACATTGTATAAGAACAAAGGCGACGGGGGCGACTGCAATAACTACCGTGGCATCTCTCTTCTCAGCGTTGTAGGGAAGCTGCTTGCCCGTATTGTACTCAAGAGACTCCAGGTGCTTGCAGACAGAGTCTATCTAGAATCACAGTGTGGATTTCAAGCTAATAGATCCACCACTGACATGGTATTCTCCCTCGGACAGTAGCAGGAGAAATGCAGGAACAACAACAGCCACTCTTTGTGGCCTTCACAGATCTCACAAAGGCCTTTGATTTGGTTAGCCAGGATGGCCTTTTTAAAATACTTCCCAAGACTGGATGTCCACCTCGACTCCTTAGCATCATCAGGTCCTTTCATGAAGGAATGAAGGGCACTGTAGTTTTTGATGGCTCAACATCAGATCCCTTTGACATCTGAAGCAGAGTGAAACAGAGCTATGTCCTCGCACCAACCCTGTTTGGGATCTTTTTTTGCTGTCATGCTGAAGCACACCTTTGGAATTGCAACAGAAGGTGTCTATCCCCAGACTAGATCAGATGGAAAGCTCTTTAATCTCTTTAATCTAGATCAGGGGTCTCAAACATGCGGCCCCCCAGATGATAGTTTGTGGCCCTCGCCTTGCCTGCCCCCCCAAAGTGTCCACACATCCTCTGCTGTCAAGAGTAAAAAAAAAAGCCTTGCCTCGCTC